CTGCTTTGTGGGGAAAGGATTTGCCAAAATAATCATTATTCACCTTTCCAAAAAGAAGGCAGAATGACATTTTTTCTAAATGACTGGGAACCGGCACATTGATGTGCTTTAAATGGACTCCTTTAGCCTTTCCCATTAATTTGTTTATGGGGGATTTTTGAGAAGGCGTTGAGGAGGGACTGGCATATTTCCCAGACAGCCAGTGTATTCCACTCTGCGAAGGTAACAAGATGAGACAGCCGTGAGTTCAGCTGATGTGCCCTGATGCGTCCCCGCTTGTGAGAGCAATGTGGGGGGTGCCGAGAACACCTGACATCGGAGGAGAACGCCCTGCCGCAGATGGTGTGCAGCACATGCAAGCAGATGCTGTTTACTTTGCATTCGCGGAGACATCCTTGTTATAACTCCTGAAACTCCGTCACACCGGCACCAGGAAGCGGAGATAGCGGGGACTGTCACGCGAGACACGTATCTCAGTCCCTTCATCTTCCAGGCATGATGACGCATGTTGCCACGTGACAGAGATGCCCATCATTTCAGCGTCATTTAGTGAAACACCGACTATTCCATATGGTGCCATTAAGCAACAGCTGTGATATAGATAACTAAGATTAAATAAATGCGGAATGCACAGCCATAATCAATTTTCGACGAGTTGACCACATATAATTCTGATATTTATTACAGTTATGAGTAATTAACTATAATACATAATGTCCATAATGTCTTCAAAAGATGGTTGTAACCCCCAAACACCCCCCCTTCCCCCTCCCTTGATCATCGATCATCGTTTTACCTCATTGAGCAATAACTGAATTTCTTCAGTAAATTTAATATGCAAAAGATGTTTGGAATGCCATCTGTTTCACAGAGAAGTAATTCAACTCTGGGGTTACTCTGGGATATATAAACATTTTTAATCTTATTTTATCAATATGGTAAATGATTTTATAAGTGATTTTCCATTTAAAATAGTCTGTAAACAAAGGATTGAGCACGCCTGTACACAAACTCTTCAAAGAGAAATATTATTTGGGGTATTTTTTTTGTTCTCTATATACAGAAACCAGTTAATCAAGGAAGCAAACATTTTCAAAATGTAGCCAGTGTACACTGCCTTGTTGAATGTGATACCACTAATGTTCCACTGGGTGGCGCTGTTATTCTAGCAACTAAGCTATTTCAAACCCAAATGCTTTGTGTGTCTTCTTACATGTATTTAGAAATTGCTTCACTATTTACAGTCATTTGTTCACTAAATTTAATCAAACTAAATATATTATAATAATCGTAACTGTATCACTAAGCAGACATTGTACATTTAACCATCATTAGATCTTAGCATTACTTAAAATTGACTGTGTTTGTCCAAAATCAGTAATCTAATGCAATTCATACTGTCAATCATAAATCACTGCTGTGCTACATTAAAAGTATATACTTGTAATGTACTAATACCCAGCACCATGGCAGAGTGTCAGCTGCCCAGTAACAAGCCGGCAGACACAGAAAGCTGTGTTTTGTGGCAGTTTAGGGACTTCAGAATAGAGCCAGACTGGTCACCCAGGCTGCCGTGCTGGTTCCGGAAAGAGCGCCCTCTGTAGTTAGAGCGAGGCGTGTGTAATTAACAGATGCATCCACAGATATTTGTAAAGTATGACATGCAGCAGTATGACACGCATATAGCTGCCTCTCCAGACGGTGACGCCCCACATCCCCAAAGAGGTACCCTAACCCTAACCTGGGCTTTTGGCTCCACCCTGCTACCTGAGCACAGTAACCCGCAGCCCGGAGCTTCGGACACGGGGGGCGCCTGCAATCCCTCCTGGACCTCCCACCCTTTTTGCTCCAGTGGGAGTCCCGGATTTATCCGTCTCCTTCATCCCCAAAACGACAACAAGCAGGCAACACAAGAAAGAACACCAAACTCTGGGGGGGGGAGAGCCTTAAAGACGACCAGTACGAGAAGAAGAATATGGCTTTAGAGGTTATAAAATGTAAAAGGCAGTGAAAATCAGCCCATAAAAAGGGAGTGTAAGCGTACTCCCCCCCAGCACGGCAAACAGTCTGCACACTGCCTGGGAACGTGCCTTTCTCCATATTTTCCTGTTTACGATGTAACACAAAGGAAGAATGAAATATGTCTACGCAAGGTGTGTGGGTAATTAGCAGAGCTGGGCGCTGCTCCGTGGCCTTTGCTGGTCGTGTTTGTCATCTGAGAAACCTGAAACCCCTGCGTGTAACGAGAGCGCAGGACCACAGCTGAAATCTATAAAAAACCTTTGTGTTCACAACATATGAGGGGTGTAACATCATCGTCACTGCACTGGACGCGCAGAAATAACTGCTGCAGTGGGGTTAATAAAATATGAGGGAAATCGTCTGGTTCAGCCTGGAAAGGTCAGGTGACCACCGGCAGTAACTGGACCCAAGGGGAGCCAAGGCTTCTGGTTCACCTTGACAAATAATATGATATGTGGTGGCCCGTCATA